ATTATCCATATATATATATATATATATATATAGAGAGAGGTACAGAGATTATAAGAGAGAGAGGTACCTAAGCATGTGAGAGATTATAGGAAGGAATGTGGATCATTGTGCTTAAAAGAACCTTTCATAAGTTTACGAGGACTACTCTCTCTCTCTCCATGTACTGGGGCCATTTGCTTACAGTACAGAGTGCTTGCGGTTGGTTTTAGTGGATCACATCAAGACAGTAACACCTCCTAGAACACGTTAGCAAATTGTCTACCAAGGATTCAGATCCAATTCTTTTGTCATACTTCAAGTAACTGCATGCTTTGTGCCTTCCATACTTCACAAGTATGAAACACAGAAGAACCGATGCCCTCAGGAATAATGTTACTTATTAAACTTAGACAAGGGTGATTAAATCTTAGTTGTCAAATTTCTCAATTAGACACGATTAGTACGGTTAAACTATCATAAAATATCCAACTTAATAATGTTTTATAAACTTAGCTCCCCTCCAAATTTTCATTTTTTATTCGCTCTCTTTTGATTGTTTTTAGTTATTTTAGCATTGGGTGTAGTTTGTATAGAGCCGACGCTCTAAACAATTAAATTAGAGCCCACTTTCAAATAGTGTCTAGAAATATGATTTCAATACCGGAAAGTTTTGTGATAGCCTTAAATTATATTTTCATCTTTAGTTATAAGATTTAAAGCTTCAAAAATAGTGCAGAATGAGCAGATCTAATAAAACTTGAAAATCTTGAAAATTGACGTTCAAAAAATGCATTACAAGATGCACTATTTCCAAAACTTGAAATCTATTAAAGTTTTGAGGTAGGCTCTAATTTGTTTGTTTAGAGCCTAGGCTCTATATAAACTTTTCCCTTTAGCATTTTACAGATGATTAAAAATAATAACTGGAGGATCAGATAATAGACAGTGCAAGGACCAGATCCAAAAGATGTAAAGCGCATCTGGTTGCATCATGCCAAGGAGTATCAGAGTAGAATACTTGTCAGACACCAGACACGAGACCTATTTTGAAGTATCCAGGAGATAGAGAGAAGAGACTGTGTGTGCACGTGGGCATGTGAGAGAGAGAGAGAGATGAGGAATGGGAACATGCTGTACCCGAAGACACAAGGAAATTATATCAGCCATTCTAGAGAGAGACTTTTTGGGGAAGATGCCACTGAGTGCGGGATCAACCATCTTCACCAAGGCATCAATATCATGAAGTTGTGGGGTGGCCCAATCCACCAGTGATTGCTGCCATTTTCCCCTAAAACCAACAAGCGCCAAATCATGAACGTCAGCATACGTCAGCACACAATTCCTTTAATTCTTCTCTACTTTAAAGAGTTTTTCCATTTTCACTCTAACAATGCTGCATACCATGTATTTTATGTTTGGAAATACATTAAACAACAATTATTACACGTAAGAGCATATATTACCTGTCTAGTGGCACTCGGCCTGTTAAAAGTTCGAGCAACACCACGCCAAAATTGTAGATATCGCTCTTTTCTATATAAACTCCTGATATTACAACTTCGGGAGGGGTGCATCCAAAGGAACCTGAAACCTGAAAAGAAACTTGATCTGGAGGTTCAAGAAGTTTGAATGGATGTGTGTGTGTGAGAGAGAGAGAGAGAGATGGGTGGAGATGGCTCTATCGCATTTGGCTTGGTAGAGAGAGAGGTGGCTTTATCCCCCTCACACACGCACACTCATATACACACAAACAGAGAGAGAGAGAGAGAGAGAATACATGATGCTTGCTTGGCATGAGAGTAGCCAGACCACAGTCAGTGAGTCGAGGGTTACGATATTCATCAAACATTATATTTTCAGACTTCAGGTTCCCATGGATTATAGGAGTTAAACCCCCCGAATGCAAATACCTGGAAAAAGCCAAGAAAGAACAGGAAATCACTTGGGCAATTTTAATTTTATATGAATAGAAAAGAGAAGTTAACAAAGCCCACACTTACTCAAGACCTCTTGCTATATGAAGTGCTATATCCACCCGGGCATTCCACTTCAGTATCTTGCTACAGGGCCCAGAGCGATGCAATGCATCGTATAGAGTGCCATTTACAATATAATCATAAACAAGAAGCTTTTGGCCTTGCTCAATACAATAGCCTTGGAGACTAGCAATGTTGGGGTGCTTCAACTCTGACAAGCAGTAAATCATTTCGAGAAATGCATCTTGTTCTTGAATATAAAGACCCTGAAGGTTAATATACTTGACGGCCAGAACCTAGGAAGCCACAGTAATCAGGAGAAAAAAAAATAAGATATAGCACAAAGCAATTAATTAATTTCTAAAGGCAGAAATCATTGCAAGACGTTCCATGCTTTTGAACACATCCACATCCTAAATGCCAAATCTAGCTCTATATCATAATTTATGTCCCTACCTTTTGCAGTAGCAAAGGTCAAACTCAACATGCTAAAGACATTATGTTTTAACATTGGTAAGCAAGCCCAAAGAAAGAAGGGATCGTTATCTATGCAATGTCTTTGCTTGTTTTCTACATGGATTTCTTCCACATAATCTGAATAAATTTAATCCATTCTTTCAGCCATAAACAAAGTCAACTAGAAGGATTGAGAAGTTTTTTCAAGATAACCTATACTCAAAAAACAATTAAGATAGACAATTAAGGTATAATAAAGGTTAAAAAATTGAGAGAGGGAGGGAGGGAGAGAGAGGTATAATTCAGGGTTTCTACCTTGCCATCAGGGAACTGAGCTTTATATACACAACCTAGAGAGCCCCCTCCAACAAAACTTTCGGGGCCAAAGCTATTTGTTGCTGTTTGGAGGTCGGCAAGAGAATATGATACTGCATTTAGTGGGCCTCTTCTTCTCTTTCCCATACTTTTTCTTGCTGCTGCTCTTTCACATGACTTTCTTTTAAGTTGTCCAGGTGGAGGTTTTAATTCAAACTCATGTGGAGAGGGATTCTTCGTCCACACTTTTTCTACTCTCATTTTGGAAGCTGTAAGAATAAACAAGAGTGTTAGACTGAAAGATGACTATGCTTAGTTTGACATTGTAATTTTCATCTTCAAGTTCATTCATAATGTCTCCTTTCATAATTTTATCTTCAATTCAAGATTTCATATCATATAATGGGGTTTATTGCCATGAATTTGATCATCCTATTAGTAGAGCGTCAAATTTTACTTCTACTGTGCATGAAAAGAAAAGTCTTGAAGCTGTTTTGACAAAAAGAGATAGGAGAAATCACAGTACCTTCAGATGTAGTGATTGGAAGAGTGCACAGAGAAGCACAAAGCATTTTCTTGGGAAAAGAGCGATGGTAGCATGCGAATATGAAACAAAGGGATCCACCCACAATTATCAGAACTCCCGCAGCAGCTACACCAATCATCAATCCTGCAACCAACCTTTTGTGATCACGTTCACAATTTTGATCAGACGGTAAACTTACAAAAGCACCGGGAACGGTCAGTGGTTTGTTGGTGATATTATGTTTAGGTTCCACAACACCGGAAGGAAGCTCAGAAAATGGATGAGAAGATTGAGGAGCACCATTCTGAAACAGATTTCCAGAAATCCTGGGACAAAATTATATAATAAATGAAATTGGTATCAAGTGACATGTAATATGACAACTAAACAATGCATAAAAAGAGAGCATGGTAAGGTCTGTCGTAGATTATAGGTACAATGAATAGGATTAGTTACCTAAGATATGGAATGGAGTCAAATTCCTTTGGAATCCACCCACTAAAATAGTTATTTTCAACGTTTCTGAAAATCCAATTTATGCAATCAGCACCAGAATAAGATTTATGTTTTATAAAGAAATGTCAAAGAAGGAAGCCAAACTGGAAACCATCATACAGGTAACGTACAGATCAGACAAAGGAAGGTGACTCAAAAAGTCAACTGATCCAGAGAGGTAATTGTTCTGCAAAAAACTACAAGAAATATCCATTTGAACATTAAATAAATCTACAAAACTTGCTCCATTGGTAGCTCAGTCAAGCATTAAAGAAATATGTGTACCGGCAGTGCACTTACAGATTAGAAAGTTTTGACAAAGTAATAAAAGAGAGAGGGAGATCACCCGTGAAGTTATTGAAAGATAGGTCCCTGATACATGGTACAATGCACCAGTAAATAATTCTCTAGATCACATTATCTTTGCTCAGTAATTTATGGATACAAGTAATAAACTGCTAGCCCTGCGAAAAGAGTAATAATTCATTAAAGAAAATCAAATTATATAAATACCAATAATAATTTCTCAAGGAAAAACAAGGAAGGAGAACCATGCTCCTGAAATACTCCTATGAATGTCAAAGCATGATGTTACCATATAATCGTTGATCAGATGCCCATCCTAATTAGAAAAAAAAACATGACCACCATAATGCAATCAAATATTATAAATCCAAAACTATAACCAGAAGAAAAAGGAATAATAGCTACTAAAGCAGAAATACGCAATACTGCAAATATTGTAAAGGCAGATTTTGTCATAATGACTAGTGGAAATTTATTGGCTCATCTTCCAAGGTCTAGTTTGTATTTAATCAACTAGGAACAAAATCAACGAGAGTACAAACCATAGTACGAGCACAGAAATAAAAGTATAAAAACACACATGCTACAAGAACACAAAGATTTATGTGGTTCGCTCTATGACAAATTGAAATTCACTATGCCGATGAGAGTTGCATTACAAATTTTGGATAAATAGTTGCCTCTCTGCCTTGACAAAACCCAATAGAGCAAACCTTTTACTCAAGCGCTTCCGACTGACATCATCCACTGATCTCACCATCTCTACTCTACTAGTAAGCTATTTCCAAGAAGTGAACCTTGCGAATAATTGAGACTCTCTCTTATTAAAAATGGATCATCGTCATCAACATCATCATCATCAAAGCCTTATATCAACTATTGGGGTCAACTACACGAATCCTGTTCCAATATTCTTCTTATCAAGAGTCATACCATCAATTAGACCATAAGCCATAACCCTTCTCACTACTTCCATTCATATCCTTTTGGGCCTTCCCCTTGCCCTTGTAGAGCTTTCATCTTACTAAAAGTGGATATTATCCAAAATCTCCATGGGAACCATTCCTCTACATGAAACCAATTTTTCACTCTACAGGAAGCACCACCTCAACATTTCTATCTAGGAAGCTGACTTATCTCTACCGCTCTATGAGAAACTTGTGCCTCACTTTATAGAAGAAGCCACATTTCCCATATGGAAAACACAAATAGGGAACATAATTTTTTCCTCTCATTCCTTATAATATATTCCTTATAACTTGCTAATAAAATTGCTATATATTACTTACTTATATATATATATATATATATATATATATAATATATATATATATATATATATATATATATATAGTATACGTACTACTATACTACGTACGTATATATATATACTATATATACTACTACTACTACTACTACTAC